AAAATAGAAAAGACCACAGTGTACCTGCTATTTTTCTTATTTATTCAATTTTCAGCAATAGAAATTAGATGAGTCTTTTCTCATGCAAAGCTTATGATTAGTTGATTACAATGACTGGAAAAAAAACTGAGGTGCCCGTGCTCGTTGGTGAGCTAGAGCCATTTTTCAACTGACTGAGCTCAATATCAAGGCAAATCCATCATGTTTTCAATGTGCGCGTACACGAGCACGCGCTAATGATGACGCCATAAATTATGCGCAGTAAGGATGTGCAGTGCAAATGTGAGGAATGACTTTAAGTAAGAAAAACTCTCCTCTAGATGATCAAACCAGGCAGGCAAAATAATATTGTCTGCACAGCTGGTCAATTTGCCCGGTGCATGGTGATTAATTTCATGAAAACACTGCATACTGTACAAACTGGTCAACCATGGCTGCATCATTCTTTTGACCCCAAAAACCATCACCACCAATAAACAAATAAACATTGAACCAATAAAATGCAAAATTCTGCCCATTGTACAGCCTACTCTGTCTCAGCTCTTGAGTCACCAGCACATGCATAAAATTACAAGTATGCTTCATCTTTAGCTTTTTTTTCTAGAAATACATTATAGCAGACACACACATTGTTTAACATACATGTAAAAGTACAATGCCAACTGTTGAAGCATGAAAGTAAAGGTTACCTCTTTCATTTCTGATATTCTTCTGAGAGCCTTGTCCTGGCTTTGAGTGAGATTGTTCTGCAAATAAATAAAAACATGTGGCATAAAGTGTACATGTGCATGTATTAAAGACTGTAAACATATACAGCAGTAAGTACAGTAAGAACAAAATGTATACAGTACTAATCACACTTTGATTTATGTACACGAACATGCAAAGTAAATTAGAGCGTGATTACGACAGATGACGAACTGATCAACTCCAGATCTGATGTGGCATTTCATTTCTACAGTACTTAGTTTCGTACTACACAACTTGTGTGCAGCACTCATCAGATAAAACTGCTAAATGCAAATTTACATTGTTACACTGATATGAAATACACACATCTGATGTGACCGATGGAAAAAGTGAATGCTTTTACAAGACAATGGAAAGTGCTTAAGTAAGCTCTGTTACTATTACATGACAAGAGAAGCTTTAACATTTAGCACTTTTCAGGAGCAATTCAATGTTTGCATGTCTACATGAAGTTATCAATTCATTCTGTTTGTTCAGAGAGGCTACATGTAACTCCGGTTTACAAATAATAAAGTGTACAATACATACATGTATAAATTTACATATCTGTGAATTATCAACAGGATTTTACAAACAAAACAGATATTTCATGAACAGTTTCATGTCAAGTACTGTACCTGCAATTTTTCATTTTCCTTCTGAAGATTCTTGTATGCCTCAACAACCTGGAAAATACAAATCCAGGTTCTTAAAATTTTTGCTTCCTTTTCTCACTTTCAAACTTAGCCTACCGTGATCATAATATTTTTGAATTTAAAATATGTTGCCATTGTCATACAACCCACTTTGTAATGTTTCAGTCTCTTCACTGTTACAATATCAACTTCATTTTCATTGTACAGAGTACCTTTGTAAGGGCCTTTCTCTCTCTGTCTCCCATATCAAGCTGGCTTCCCATACAAGAAAACATGTTGAGACCATTGTTACCAGAATTAATATCTCAGATGTTTAAAACTTCAGTGAATGGTAAGAATTGAAGAATGTCTTCACAAGCAAAATAATTCTTGACGTTCCAGAGCTGAATATGAGCTTTGGTGCCTCTAAACACATTTCTCAGAGTACAGAGAAAAAAGATGTGATAATGTAGTCAAGGTCAGTGATACAATAAGATGATCGCCATTAAGCCAAGTAAAAATGCTTTGTCTTCCGAGCAAACAATCTTGCACATTTTGTCCCTTAACAGATACTGTAAGGAGATCTTTCAAAATGTAGAATACAGAAGAAAACTGTCACATGTATGAGAACAGAAAGAAAGGAAAATGATATTCCTTGCTGTAAAACATGTCATTTCATGGCAGCCTTATATTGTGTGTGTTCTTGGTTTATTCTAGTTAAGACTCATTTGCATAGAAGAATATGCAAAAATTACTGAATTGTTTCAAGTGTCATATCTGTCTGACCACAAGATCAACTGACATCATTGTTTGTGGGACATTCTGTCTCACCTCATTCAATTCCTAGGCAACCATTAACAAATTAAAATTATGCTTTTATTCTTTTGGTGAATACAATTTCTGATGGAAAAAGAAAAACTCTATTCACTCTTTTACAGCTCTATAAGCCCTTTTTTCACCTACATGTACTGCACTGTACATGTACTTCCAAACAAAAAAATAACGATAAACTCAAAAAAGAGAGAAATTTAAAAACTTATGCTGTTAAGTCTTTGTCTAACACAAAATCATTTACTGCATATTAATTTAATAACACATGAATTCTGAAGTTCAAAACCTAACTAACAAGGGGTTAGTGTGTTTTTTGGTACCATCAATCATAATTACATGACAAGCACTCCATGTACTGTACATGTACTTCAGATTTTCAAACAAAAGAGACAAACAAAACTCATCAAAATCTACCAATCACAACCCACAAATCTATGTGAACTTTTGAAACACAGTGAAAGTGGAAGGTTTTTACTTGGTTGTGCAAACACCACATTCATTTCCAAGGACTTGAAAATAAAAAAATCTGTACTTGGGAACATTTTGGGCATAAACATCCTTAATAAAACTGACTTGGAAAGATGAAAGTGGTGACAATGGCAAAGTTAAACTTGTCTGACTACAAACATGCATACAGGTACACATAATGTATGCAGATTGTGAAAGTGCTCAACTTCCTACATACATACATGTAGATGCACATGTACATGCAGTGTACATGCTGTATTGAAACATATTCACTGCCAGCAAAAACAAACAAACAACAAACCAAAACAAGAACACAGTAAAACAGTTACTACCTCCGAAAATCTGGTCTTGTAACGGGTCAAGACTCGTTCTTGTTTCTTAAGCATGGCCACCATCTCTTCCTTTGTTGCTCCTTCAAGCCGTGCAGCTGTTCCAGTACTACCTTGCTCTGCATCAGACTCAGTATCAGACCTCCCGCCAACAGAACTGGGACTGGCTGGAGGAAGTGAGCTCTGGTGTTCTAGAGCTCTCTTGGGAGTTTCAGTGTCACTTATGCTGTCCTGTGACAGTGATTTGCTGGGAGTGCTTGTGCTCTTAGGAGGAGTTGTTTCGCCTGACCGTGGCTTTTCTCCATTTCTTGAGTCTGATTGTCCTGGCTAAAGAACAATATTTATTAACAACATTAATAAACAATAGTCAAGTTACTAGATAATGAGTTCCTTGTTATTAAAGCATGTGACAAGAAATATTATAAATGTAATGTCAATCGACATTTTGATGCATCAAGCATCTTTCTAAAGATTGAGGTAGTTACACTGTAACATCAATGTCAAAGTTACATGTATTATTTAAGAGTTGAGTTTAAAATGGATTGCATTCCAGTATGCGTGAAGTAACACTAATCATCAGAGAATAACTTTGTGTGGATCAAGTCAGACTGCACATTGAGTGATGGTTCTAGATCTCTTATGAATAGCATTTCATAAAAAAATGCAGTAATCAAAAGTTTATTCCGACACTTTTTTCTGGATAGAGAAATTATCTGTAACATTTGGTTTTTCGACTCTGTGTTGTACATGTATGTAGTTTCATGTCCTTTTCAATCGAAGATCTTGAGTTGGCGTGCTTGTTAATGCATTGGTGAGGGTGTCGATTTGTAAATTCCAACATAGTCCATTTTGCATAGACCACATTTAAAGTAATCAACAAGTCGTCATTCATTAATCAATGACACTTGGTTTTGGTTCATTGGTTTTGATGACATTGATGACTTTCTTTCCTGTGCAAACAAGTTGTAAAGACACACCAGTTTCTGATCTCAGACTTTGTAGCTGTAGTAATCAAGTTGAACGCAAAATGTAACTTCCTTGTTTTCTTATTACAGAAATCTACAGTGTACATATAAAATCATCTAATACACAAAAAAGTTAAAACTCCACACATTACTACAGTATGACTGGGCCATTTTTCCTCGAGGAGGGAGGGGGGGTGGGGGAGACTCACATGGGAAAAGATTGAGGTTGCTCTTGCCTCGCTTAGGGGTGTAAATCATGATTTTAGTCTCATTAAGGTTGTTTGGGATGAAACGCCACTATTTTTATCTATCAAGGTGTATTTTAGGGTGCACTAAAAGTAATAATTTTAAAAAAAGCTCTCATTTCCATTTTAAGTGGTCATAAAAGATAACAGATGGCAGAAGAGTGACTAATCAGTTTGTACATACTATGTTTGACTTTACATGGCATTGTCACCGCAAATATACCGGTACCCAAAAACAAAACTTCACCCTGTATACTTAAAAACATTCAGACGTGAAATTTGATGGTTTGTTTACCATGATGATGACTGGACACAGAACCAAAAATTGTTACCCATGAAATTTGAAATCCTTGGGCTTAATATTTTAAATCCAGTCAATAAGGCCCGATAGCCACCCCAAAAATGTACAGCCAGCAACTAGCCAATCTTTCAGAATATCACTCTACCATTAATTTTGAATAGAAATTAAAATTCATGAAAAGATCCCATCCATACATGTATCAAACTTCTGAGTCAAGGTGGAGATGCATTTCAAGAGTTTAAATTGTGTTTAACCTTTCCGGCCCCACACAAATGGAAGATCAAAGGCTTGTGAAACACTTGGGACATTTTTGCAGTACTGAATCCCAGGCTTCCAGATGTGCCAAAATGGCATCTACACTGAAGAAATTGAGGAAGTCGTTACTGAGTATGATTTTTCATTCAGCCAAATTAGCAGAACAAAGGTTAGTACCGTGTAATTATAAATTGAAAAGATTTTCTGATTGAGACCATTGAGATTTCGAGTAAAAGAACGGTTATTTTAAACATAATTTAACATGGTAAATAAAATAGGTTTGAATGTTATTTCGGCCCAAAGACTGACTGGGAACTGCTGAAAATAGGATTCCAAGCATTTAAATTTTGAAATTTTCTGGGGGAGGGGTCATGCCCCCAGGCCCACCTAGGAGGCCCACGCCTTTGACACTCCAAACACAGACTACTGCCTACTTTCACATGTTAGGACATCAACATCAAAATTTATTGGTAGCCCTGCACTGTACATTATCATTAAGGCATTTTCCTTCTGTTTGATATTTTCTTGCTATAAATCAAATGAATGCAAAAGGGAGCAGTACCTGTTTTCTCAAGCTGAGGATAAATTGGGGAAAAATATAAGTTGACAAAAAAGCTACAAAGATAATTACTTTTAATGATGAGCACGCCCACGAGACCGGCCACTATCCTATCTGGAATGAGGTCAGGTTTATTGATCGAGATTCTCGCTGGTACATATGTAGGGTCAAGGAAGCTATTCACATAAGACTTCACCCTAATAACATCAACAGGGATAGTGGAATTGAAATTCCTGAAGCATGGACGTCCACAACCAAAATACACAACAACAGGAGAATGTTACAACAGCAGACCACTGAGGGAACAGCTACTCGCCGGAACAATGGAACAATAGGGGGATCGAAATGCACCAATCACAGCCGCCCTTAGTGATATAAATGATACTGTGCAATCAGTCGACCTTATCGCCTGAAGAAGACTAGCAGTAAGCAGTTGAAATGTCATGATCTACAACTCAAGTGACTACATCGTGAGACAAACGATAATACACTTTATTATTGCATCTACCACGATGAATAACAACAACCTTTTCCTCAACATAATTCCTTTTTACATGGATGTCAAATAAAAAATTCATTGATACAAGTATGTGCCCATAGAAGATAGTGCACATCATCTGAAAAAAATCCAACACTTTTGACACAAACAACAATTTGGCATATCAAATAATTGCACATGTAAGGTACAACTCCTAACAAGCAAGAATACATTTACCAACACTTAAAATTCAGTAAATATTTTTCAGACCAGTTTTGTTGTTATTCTCAATTGTCTTATATATGTTATCAAATTCTGAAACAATGGGAAGAAATAAAACTGGTATGAAAATGTGATAAATTAAAATACATGTAACAACATTAAGCTGGCATACATAAACACAATATTCCATACGCGAAAGATCAATTAAAATAATTACTGTGTGACCATACACAATTCTACAGTTCCACCAAACAAGCCGAAACTGAGAAAAAATTAAACACTATGATGCATGTAAATATACAGCTTTCAGAGACTGCCTCGAGATCAAATAAAAAATACAGGTGTTTCAATTAATACTGTTAATATTGAATTGCTCTGACCAACTGACCATATCACACGAGCACAATTTTTGATAGCATCTGATATGGCCGTCGGAAGGCCTGACAGAGAGTTATTTAAGCCATACCTTGGCGTCAAGAAGATTATACACACGATCAAGAACTTCCCGTGGTGTGGATTTCGATTTAGTCGTCGGTGTGTTAGAGGTCGCCAATGGAGAACTTGCGATACTTCCTCGGGAACTTCCACGATCACTTTCCGCGTTCGACGGAGTTTCAGTGGTACTTCCATTGCTCTCTGGTCCTTTGACGGACTAAATTATTAAACACAAGGTGCAAGTTAATCTTCCTGCGCTCGATAAAGTACACGTAACATAAAAAGTTGACAAGGCATTGTTTCTTCAACAACACTTCACACAAGGGAAGCATTCGCGCGTGTAGCTTATCAAACCTGTGTCTCGCCTGGAGCTTGCCTCCGAGGGCTTTGCTCTCCGTCTGATTCCTCCGCTAATTTTTGTTTTAACTTCTTAAACATTTTTCACAAAATGCATTCGCTCAATACCACTAACACTCCGCCATATTGGATTTTTCCGTGTGCACCAACTGCGCATGCGCTCTCTGAAAACTTCGACATGCGCAATAAGACCTTGACACGTCAGCGACAGCGGATAAAAATATATGGGAGGGCGGGCAAGGTTGTTTTTGGACTAGAGAAAAATTTGAAACAGGGTGGAAAGGAACAGATATGAAGGCAATCCATATAAACAATACAACCTCTATAGGGATAAATTGAATTTTTTCTTCTTTTTTTTTTTCTTTTTGTTCTTTTGAGGTCGCAGAGAAAAACAGTCTTAAAGCTGAGTGGATTGAACAACGCGTAAATATGATTTCATGCGCACGCATGCCGTTGACAGATCAAACGTTTTTTTTTTTTTTTTTTTTT